CTGTGGCTTCATGACAGTTAAAGGTAATTTAAACTGGTGTGGGTGCAAATCCCACTTTTAGGCACACACCCCTTTCTCCTTTTCTGTTACTTGCCTGTCTGATTCAATGAGGCAACCCATGGGAAAAATGACAGGATGTTTCTGCCAGCACTGGGAGGTGATCTGGCTTACATGGAAAGCATGAGTGTCAGCACTGGGTGCAAACAGGAGGCAAAACCATACAGCTGGTGGCAAAAACCTGCAGAAGGGACAGCAGGACCCTAGCCATCACAATTCACTTGTTTTAACCTTCATGGAAAAAAAAACCCATAGAATCATTTAGGTTGTAAAACACCCTTAAATCATTGTGTCCGACCATTAACCTAACACTACCAAGTCTGCCACTGTCCCTCAGCATCGCATCTCCACATCTTTGAAATCCCTCCAGGAATGGTAACTCCACCAGTTCCCTGAGCAGCCTGTTCCAATGCTTGACAACCCTTTCTCTAAAGAAATTTATCTTAATACCCATTCTAAACCTCTCCTGGTGCAACTTGAGGCCATTTCCTCTAGCTCCATTACTTGCTCCTTTTGAGAAGGTAACAACCCCCACCTTGCTACAGCCTCCTTTCAGGTAATGGTTGAGAGCAATGAGGTCTCCCATGAGCCTTCTTTTCTCCAGGCTAAACAACCCCTATTCCCTAAGCTGCTCCTCATAAGACTTGTGCTCCAGACCCTTCACCAGCTCTGTTGCCTTCTCTGGCCAGATGCCAGCACCTCAATGCCTTTTTTGGAGTGAGGGACCCTGTGGGCAAGGCTTTTACCAGCAGTCTGAGTGACAGCAGTATGCTTTCATCCTCTTCTCTCCTCAGCACATTTCCTCACCATTCCTTATGCTGTGCAATCAGCAAACCAATCTGGCTGAAAGAGAAGAATAAAACTAAGAAATTTTACTTCCAAGATTAGGTTTCAAATGTTGGTGGCATGGTCTGAGATCAGATTAGTCTGCTGGTGAAATCTGTGACTTCACCCCACATCTTCGATCAGAGCAGCCACTTCACTGGACAAGAGCCAACTTGGACCAGCAAGGGTGGAATACTGCTTGCCTGACAAAGGCCTGCTTCTCACCCAGGCAGCAGGAGCAGCCAGAGGGTAGTTTGCAGAAGCTGTGTTCCTGATGCATTTCTACTAAAAATTATTTTAATCGTTTTTTAAGCTCCATTTCAACCTTGGTCATTTTTCCTAATTCACAATGGATGCAGTCAGAAGCAACACCAAAGAGCACAAGGTGTTTTATCCTGAAAGCTCTCCATGTCCTGAGCTTCCTGGTGAGAGGACCTAAGAGGGAGAGACACCATACTCAAACATACATGAAGGTAAGAAGCACCAAGGCGAGAGCAGAGGTAGTAACATTACCTTCAAACAAAGCAGAGATACAGTTTCTTGAGCACAAGGACTGGAATGATGCACTTGCTGATCTCTGAGAAAGCCCATCACCAACTGTAATTTAATTTTCTTTGTGTTCAGGTATGTGGGATGATGTGGCTACTTCCCTTTCAATGCACAAAGAATGTGACAGCAGAAAACATGTTTGGCTTTTTAAACTATTCTGACCCTGCTAGTGTCACTCCTGCAAGACCCCAGTGTGCCTTATACATTCAACAAGAAAGAAACAAAGGTAAATTACTTGGCAAAAGCCAAGGGATTCAGACGATAACAAACTAATCTGGAAGGGAAAGAACCAGCAATATCAAGCTGGAACACTCACAAATTGAAATGAAAAATCAAGGTCAAATGTTTAACCAGGAGGTGATCAGTAATTACACCAGAATAATAGGTAGCAAAAGGCATATTTGCCATTTCTTGAAATATCCATAATGACTTTTTTTTTTTAATCTGGAAAATAAATTTTAACTAAGTAGGTTATAATCTTAGTTACAAACACTACAGTCCACATTAGGTTGGATATTGGATTCTGAGACCAAACTTGCTTTTAAACCTAAATCCTGTATCAGTACACTGTATGGCTCAACTGCTCTACATTAAAGCAAAACTAAGTCTGTCATTGGTTTTGTCTGATGGACTTGGATAATTAAGGTCTGGTTATTTTTTTTAAGATAACATCCACAATTAAAAGTTCAACCTGGAAACAGGCATCCAAACCCAAGAAATAGGATGAATATCCACTTTGGCTGCTGTGATTTTGAGCAGTAATATATTTGCATAAATGAGATTTATTAAGGTATCTTAAGTGGCTTTATTTTAATGACTTTAGCTGTTGAACAAAGGTGTGTTACCTCCTACCACAGCCATACTATGTTTTCTTCAGCATTGTCTTTCTTGGAAAGCCTACAAATTCAAGGCAAAGCCTTCTAATAAAAACTAAGTCATTAGGGAAGATGATGACACAGCAATTCTGTGTTGGAAAGGAATGAACCAGGAGGATGATAAGAGACCTTCTAAACTTCTGTAATTCATTTCTAGAACAACCCAGCTTAGAAAAAAATTAAAATGCATTAATTGCTAACAAAAATCTGACAGAGCGACTTTTGCTGCTTTTCCGTTGTTTTAAGTGGTGAGAGGCTTCAGGAGGCAGCTGAGCCACCCTGCCAGTTTTCTGCAGGGCTTCACAGGCCCTCCCCATCCCAAGTCCCCTTTCAGCTCCCTTTGAGCTGCCCCTGGCACCCAGCTGACTTCCCAGGGAGCTCACCAAAATGGCACGAAATTAACCCAGAGAGGGTATAGTTTTCTGGCTTGATGAGCTGAACCAGCTCCACAGGCAGGGAAAGGAGGGCAAGGTCTCCCTCTTCTGACAGCAGCAAACGGGCAGTTCCCCTGGCCAGGACCTAACTCACCCTGGCTTCAGGGCTTCCAGCACTCACCAGCTTGCCAGGTATCGCTGTCAAATCATTCTTGAACAACATCACGACAAGCCTGTAGAATTATTCTGAGGTTTAATACTGTAAATAGTAATATGATTTGTTATTCATAACTGGGAAGCTTCATGCTCAAATCCTTGAAGATTAGAAGAAGGATGAGGAAAACTGAGAAACATAAACTAAGGCTTTGTGCTTCTAATGGAGATCAATTCATAACTGGCAGGATAAGTACAAAGAATGCAATCTGGTTATAGCCAGCCCCCACAGCTCTATGGAAATGTTGTCCAAAGCTAAAAGAATTTTGTGTAGCTAAACTTGTTATGGCAAAGTAAGATGATTCCAGTTTATAGCATGTCAGAAGGCTGCTTGATAATGATTCTTTGTTCAAATTTAAATTAGACATTTGCTTCTATTTTGAGAGTTATAGCACAAACCTTTGTGTTTCAGGTAAATCAAGTAACACCTAGCTGATTCAACAGAAATTTGCTCATATTGATTAACTTGAAAAGTGAAAATGCCAAGACAAACCTAGAAGGACTGTTAAATTCCATTGCTTATTTTCAGAGGTCATTTTGGAAATCACAAGTAATATGGGCTATTCTAGGTTTCAGACTAAACACAAAAAACAGAGGCAAGGCACATGTTGAGTTGTGGTTTTAATTCTATTTTCAACATAGTTTATATGACTTAGGACTTCAGGAAGCAAACAAGCCAACCATTGAATCCAAAACTAAGCATACATTTTGCATAGCTCAGCACAGAGATGTTACATTATCTGAATGGTATTTTTCAGTTAAGTAAAAAAAAATTAGAAAATTACTAGTTGGCTGGGAAAAAAAAGACAAATTAGAGAAGAGCCTTTCTCACAACATTTTAAACAACAGAGACCTTTGCATATAGTACAAAGGAGTTTAATAGCCAATGGGTGATATACTTTTTCACTCTTCCTCTCATCTACGCTGTAAATCAAAACAATCTCATAAAAGGTTAAATTATTAAGAACAGTGGCCCAATGGAAGTGTCATGCAACCAGGAAACCAGGATGACCATAAAAAGAAAATGAGGCTGCTGGTAACCATTATAATGTAAGGCTGAATCACAAACGCTAACATCAAACCTTTTTCTGTTCCAGTTATAACCCTTGAGAGTTTTGTGTGTTGGTTTTTTCCCCTCTTTGAAGGCAGAAGTAGGCCCTATAACCATCCCCGTTTCAGTTTCTCTCTTCCCAGCTACGGTTTCTTACAGTAACTTGTCTGTCATTGTCCGTGAGCTTAAACAGAGCACTGCATAAGCTGTATGCATCACATATCTGTCCCCAAGACGCAAAATCCTTCCCTGTGAGGGAACATTTTGGTGCAATCTAATGCAAATGCTGAGCCCAAGGGAAACAGGACCGATGAAGTATTTCACCAATATATTTCTGTAGAATTAAAAAAAAAAAGAAAAAGGGGGGAAAGGGAAAAAAAGGAAAGAAAAAAGGTAATTTAAGAGTACCAGTGGCGACGATCAGTGACCACAGGAGCAAGTTCCTACAAGGTTCGCTGTATTAGAGAATTAACTTCTAAATTAACCCAAAGCGCAGGAGCCTCCTTGGAGCCGGAGGCGGCCCCGGCAGGCGCAGCAGCCCTTCCCCGCACAGGGCAGGAGACCTCCCGGGTGAGAGAGCGCCTTAACCGCGGCCACTTTCCTCCTCCGGCGCCCCGGGGCTGGCGGAGGCCGGACCGCAGCGCTCGCAGCTCCCGGCCCCGACACGGTTCCCCCAACTCCGCAGGACACCCCCCGGCGCCAAGGCAGGACCCCCTCCACCCCAGCCCCTCGGCGGCGGGAGCCCCTCGGCCGCAGGGCTGGCGCGGTGTCACCCTCCGGCACGGCCGCCCGGGCGGGAGCAGGAGGCGGCCCCGGCGCCCTGCGGCGGGATCCCGCGGCACCCCCTCGCCCGCACCCCGCCGCTCCGGCGGGAGCCGCTGACAGGTCGCCGCCAGTGGCCCCGGCACCTGCGCTGCGCTCACCGCCCTTAGAGGAGGGGCTGCCGGCCAGACCGCGGCGCGGCGGAGCGGGAGGGAAGGAGGGAGGTACGGCGGGAGGCGGCGGCGCACGGCCGGCGGCGGGCGGGCCCCGGGGGCCGGCGGGCGCCCCTCGCCCTCGCCCCGCCGCGGGGCCGGGCGGCCGCGGCGCCACCGACACCTTACTTCCTGCTTCGCTACCCGGGGCCAGACCCATCGCGGCGGAGGGATCCCGCCGCCTCCCGCAGCCTCCTCCCCCTCCTGCTTCTGCTTTTCCCCGCTCCCTGCTGCAAGGAAATTATTTGACAGCGATTTGCTGACACCGGATTTTTTTTTTTCTTTCTCCTTTATTTTTTTTTTTTTTTTTTTCCTTCACCCTCTCCTTTCTTTTTGCATCACGGACTCGGCAGAGCGGCGGGCGGGGGAAGCCGTGCCGGAGGTAAGTGCCGATGCCCGGAGCCTCCCCCGGCGCGGGGCCCCCGCCCCGCTCCATGTGCCGCCGCTGGGGTGGGTGCCGGGCAGCGGGGCCGCGCCGCGCCGGGCCGGGGCAGCGCGTTTCCTGGCGGAGCGATATTTGTTTACAGGATGGGCGCCGTACTGTAAGAGAAGTAGGACCGAGCCCGGGGCAGCTCCGTAATAAATTAATATCGCGATTTGCTCCCGCCTCGCCGACACCGCCGCGAGCCCCGCGCCCGGCCCCCCTTCCCCCCACCACGCCTGCACTTGTTGCAGACTTGGCGCCAGGTAGGGGCGACGCTTCGCAAGTTTCGTTTCTGCAGGAGCCGGGGCAGCGCTGGAAGGTGGGGGAGCTGGAGGGGGGGGCTAAAAGGGGAAAAAAAAAAAAAAAAAAAGTTTGCAGCTCGCAGTTCACTTTCGTTCTGCAGCGCCCAGGCCCCGCCGGCTGCCGCCGCCCCGTGCTGCCCGTGCGGCCGCGGGCGGGCGGGGGGTGCGCGGTACCTGGGCGGCCCGGGCGGGCGGCGCGGGGCGCAGGGGCCGGTGGCGAGGCGCCCCTTCGCGGCGCTGCCGCCCAGTCCCGGGCGCCGCTGAGCCGTGCCGGGGAGGAGAGGAGAGGCGGGGAAGGGCGGCTCGGCGGGGCTGGCCGCGGAAGTTCTCCGAGCTGCCGCGCTGTCACGGCCCCTGACACGAGTGTCCAACCCACGCGCGGCTCCCCCCGCCCTTCGCCCCGCAGCGCGCTCAGTGCCGTCTCGGTATCAGTGTTGGATGCGGGGCGGTCCCACGGGGGCTCGGCTGTGGAGCCCTTCCCGGGCGGCACCGCGTGGGACGGCGAGCTCGTTTTGGAGGAATGGGGATTTCTCCTCCTTTCCCGCGGGAGAGGAGCGCGCGGCGGGCTGGGCGCTGCCGGGGCGCTCCGATTTTCCGGCCCGTCAACATGCGGGGTGGTAGCGAGCAAGAACTCTTAGCCAGGTGTTTAAATACCGGAGAGGTGATTTGCAAGTGAAATTAATCGGTAGTTAACCAGTTAATAAATGGATAATGCCTACTCATCCTTCTGCTGACTTTACAGAGCGGTTTTCACATGTGCCCGTCAAAAACTATCCAGGCTTGACTGGTCAGGATGTAAACTTAGCGGGATTAGTGCGTTTGTCCAGTCAGATCTGACCTCCACTTACTGTCCCTGTGCATCAGTGCTGGTTGTCATTCAGGTAGTTACAGGTGAAGTTCATACATATTTACAGACTAATACGATAACAAAATAGATATGATGACCCACAGCTTAATTATTTATGGAAAATATTGCAAAGTGTTAACTGTGTGATTAACGTTCTAAGCGGATAATTACTGGGGGGAATTTTTATGCCTTTGACAGCTACAGGTTTATTTTAGGTATGGGAGGAGGAGAGAGTTAACCTGTCAAGGTTGGCCTGGCGTGCCTGGCTGTTTGGCAGGGCCACCCTGCTGCCTTTACCCATCCTACCTGGGGCTCTGGCCCACAGAGAGACTTGGTCCCTGCCTTCGCTAGGGGTACAGTGTCATGAGGAAGTAATCCATCCTTACAACTTTGGTGTATGCATGAATTGCTTTTGCATACGGTATATGCAGCTGTTTGCTGTCTTGGCTTATCTGCTTTGTGGTCTTGGATGCTCAGTTGGATTGGAATGGAGCCATTGCCTTTTGTAAGATTCATCTACCTAGAAATAAACCACTTCACTTTGTTGCCCAGTGAAGTGATGGGGCATGATGTGCCCTGGTATGTTAAGTTTTTTTCTAAGGCTTGTCCAGGTCACACATTTAACAACAAAAGTGCTGCTCTGTGAGTACTCTGTGCATGTACATGTGGTACAGAAGTTAAGCTATGTGCCTTTGCTTAAAACAAATACAGATATTTGTTTAGAATTTAGATAAGTGAATTTTCATACAAAGAAAATGTGTTTTACGCATTTTTTTCTTGTAAATGATATTCTGAAATACGTTGGAAAAATTTAAACCTTAAATACAGTCTACTCGAAAGTTTTGGTGCGAATAAATGCTCTTATGATCTGTTCTGCTAACACTGATAAGCAGCTTGTGTTTCTGAAGTTGGGCAACTCAGTGAGGAACTGAGCAGCACTGCAGTGTGGTAGTCAAACCCAGTGTATCTCGAAAAGCCTAAAAATCTCAAATATAAGTAATGCACTTCACTGCGAAAGTTCACTCCTGAGTGAGGAGTGAAGAATTGGCTTGTTGGTGAAATGATAAGGCCAGAGCTTAATCATGCTGTTATCAATGTATGTCCTGCTGTTGGCATCCCTCCCTGAGGGAGAGGGATGAGGCCTCGGGTAGCTAGGCAGGCATCCTGCCTCCAGTATTTATATCGCTCCTGCATAGGCCAACATAAGCATAAATAAACCACAGCATGACTAACCTCTCTACCTAACATTGACTCATGTTGTATTTGGATAGACTGAAAAAGTCTCCATGCCTTAGCCATTTCATTTTTTCAGTCTGTATGTTACTAATGATGACCTGCCTTGTGAGAACACTCCAGTATGCATTTAAGACCATAAAGCAAGTCCTTGTTTCAGGTTTGTTTTGCTTTTGGATAGTGCTCAACTAGGCTAGATAAGAAAAAGGAATTTGTAGGTTTTAAACTCAAAACACTGTTGCTTCTCTTCTTCTGGCCATTTTAATTCTTCCAGTGATATAGTGAGACTTGCCATTATAAACTGAGCTCATAACTTGGTACCTGGCAAGGAGTGTGAGAGAAGTATAAGAACAGCAGTCCAGTAATGTACTGTAGGTTTCCTAAAGCAGTAAGATAATAATTTGCTGTGTATATTTTTATCTTATTTTATTTTTTGTTTGTTCTAATCAAGTAGGGAATATGTCACCTAAAAACTTACTCAGCAAAGTGTTTGAGAAGGCTCTTCTCTCTCTTTACCAATACTGTAATGGGACAGTAGTAAAGTAAAGAAGAAGGGCCCTGGGTTGTGCCTCTTTATTATGTGTCATAACAACTTGTGAGATAAGGCAGTTTCATTTCAGCTTCCTTAGAAATATGTGTTCTGGTTTTGTTGGTTTTTTGTTGGTTTTTTTTTTTTTTTTAAGAGCAAGCAGTGTTTGACAGATACAAAATAATGGTTGACGTGGAAACAATTTGTTTCCTCCCCTTGCATTTTTTTAGGGGCTGCATCGCTGCTTAGTTCTAATGAAAAATTATCATAATTATAGTTCTTTCTGTCCCTAAAGTTAACAGATCCTTTTGCCTCCACTCCACCTGTAAGAAGTAGGCAAAAGCATCCTTAAGGATATGTATGAATTCTGCCTGGAGTGGCTGCCACACCCTTGGTTATTTATGTAAGGTGAGGAGCATAAGTGGTCGAACTGACTTCCATGGCACTGCTTACAAGAGTTGAGTTGCTCTGTTTGTATTTGTAGGGAGAGGAGTGAAGAGGGCTGCATTTGAAACTAAAGAAAAATGAAGGGAGCTAATTCCATGCGTTTAGCTGCATATGAAGTGTTAAAACCTCTTCTTAACTTGTCCATCTCTGAGAAACCTATTATTGTAATCAGTTGCAGGGCTGTGAGGGGAAATCAGGCCTTATAAGATAAAGATAAAAATAGCATGTTCAAATATATTTTAAGAAAGGCGACTCTTCCTTCAAAGAGTAGGTCTGAGCATAGTTCAAAGAACGATAGCAACAATTTTTTTTTTTTTTGACTCTTTGCTTGAAACCAAACAGATTTAAGAGATCCATTGAAATTACATTTGAGCAGCATGCATTTGTGTGCCAAGTTATCCTGTGGACCTTGTGGGAGTATTTCCCCTTAGATTTGGAGACGCCGAGAAAGGGCTCTTGCACCATCATCTCCTTGCCGCTGCCACTGTATGTCCAGCCTGGCCAGGAGGATGAGGTAGGTGGCACAGTTGGTCAGCAAGTCATACTAGCACTGGTTCTTGTTGGATGTTGGTTTCTGTGGGCAAAAGGAATAATATTTTTGATCGTGGTTTCTCTTACCTCTTTCTGGTTTGACCGTGTCACTCCATGTTGTTAGGGGTGCAGGCTCACCCGGACCGCTCAGAACAGAAGCAGAAAGAAAAAAAAAACATTGATTTTTGTGGGGGAAAACTAGAAAATGTGCTCAGGTTACAACCTGCTGCCACAGAAACTAGAAGGCAAGTACTTAATTTACATTACTTTCTTCTCAAGAGGATAATAGTTTGGGGAGCCCAGGGCATGGTTTTAAATGTATGCCCTATTACCCTGTAATAGGGTTTGTTTGGCTTTTTTAATGTTTAAACTTTTTATGAGAGTGGGGATGTTGCAGGGGCCTGGGGTAGTTGTGTAGCATTGGGTATATTTTGAGGTTCTGAGTGAAATGAGTCTTATGGTTTCAGCTTACTCTGTAACAAATGTAATGTGTCGCACACGAACAGCCCACCTAAGTTTTTGTAACTGACTGATGATTTGCTCTGGAAAGACCCAAAATCCTGGTATGATGCAGATTCAAAAGGTAGTTGGTTTTTTTTTGTTTTGTTTTGTTTTGTTTTGTTTTGTTTTTTTAGATTTTCTTTTTAGTTTGTCATTCTCCAATTTACAGTTCAAATTTTGTTAGAATTTCAGGCAAATGGCTCATCTTCAGCTTCCCATGTGCCACTCAGCTGGGCTGTTGGACTTCACTTCTCAGGCAAATGTCCACAAGTGCTGAGTTTCCATACCCCACCGATGTCTAAAGCAGCCATCCTGGCTCGTCACAAATTTTCTCCTGCCTGTTTAGTTCAGCAAGAAAATGGTTGCTGTCTTTCCCCTCCCTCCCCTCATCAACTGCTCATGGTAAGATTTTTGATAGAGCCCGCATTGTGATATGTCCTTGAAGTGTAGAGCTGCAAGGTTTTGTTTTCCTTTGCCATTTTTTCTTTTCATGTTTAGACTATTACAATACAGCAAAGCAAGATTTTTGTAGATGATCTTTTTCAGTTTTTTATTTGTCAAAAATCTC